TCATGATCACACAGGCTGGTGTGCTTCTTCCATGTGGGCTTTGTTGTTTCTCAGCTAGATGGCCACTTGTTTATCTTAAAGTCTTTAAGACCCCAGAAACTATATCTTTTGATACCCGGGCACCATCAGCTTTCTTCACCACATTTGTTTATGAACCCATTTTGTCTTCCGCTTGTTGGGAAGATGAGCATCACAGAATGCCAGGTTATTAGAACAAAGTGTTCTTGTGTTGGAGTACCTGAGTTGAGGCCCAATGTCCATCTGCAACCTTAATTCTTGACATATATATATATAGTTCTATTCCCCTTTCATTATATATTTAAGCATCTGTATTTAAGCATGCTGTATTTAAGCATCTATAAATGTCCTTTGCCACCTGGCTATTTCCTCTATTTCCTTTTACTTTCCTCTTGTCCCACCATCTTGTTCAACCTTCATTCAGATTTAGTAATTCCTCGCTGCTACATTGCCTTTGATTAAGCCCCTTTGATTGATTTTAGTTCGCTTGTTTTTCCTTTGTACCTGGGTTGTCCCGCCACCCTTCCTTTCTCCCACCACCCCTTCTCCGGTATACCGCTGGAACCATTGGTCCCATTATTTTCATTACGAATTATTTATCCCACCTATCTTATCTAGATAGATATGCAGATACATTAAGTGCAAAGACCAGGAAAAACCAAATAAAACAACAAAGGAAGTCAAAACCAACAAAACAATAGCAACAACAACAACAAAATAGCAATAAAAAAAGAAAGTCATTGACAAAAATGGAAAAGCCTATAAATAGTTCAAGGTCCGTGTTTTGACCTTTACAGGTGTTTTCCAGTTGAGTCTGATGGGGTGCCACGCTCTGCCTCCAAAATCTATTTTTGGTGTTCCCTCTGGGGTTTCATAATTCTACTCTTCCTGCTGCTCTGCTGCATGCCATCAGTGCCTCACCCCAGCGTCATGGGGCCAGACCATGCACTATTCCCACACTGCATCTACAGTGCTGTCCCCTGCAGCACCATGGTTCAGTGAGGGATGCCATGGCCCATGGTGGGGCCAGCCCTGTAGTCCTTCCCTTTTGTTGTCTGCTCCAAGCAAGAACACCTCCCTTGTGGCTTGGTGGGCCAGGATGTCCTCTCCTCCCACTCAATCCCTTTGTGTTTCTCCCTTTGTGTGTGCTCTAATCCAATGTGCCCCTCTCCTCAAGCTATAGCCCCAGTGCTGTCCTCTGAAGTGCATTCTTCTGGGGACCGGGGAGGAGGGGTCCAAATAGTTGGAATTAGGGCCAGTCTGAAGACCTATCTATTGTCCTTAGTACGTGCCAGTATGTTGAATTCACCTCTTGGTGCATTGGGTTGGATTCTGGTCTCTCTCTCCCTCTCCTTGGAGATATAAAGAATACCCTCCTCTTGGGTGGGTTAGTGCCCTGCTCCCCTGCTACCCAGGCCTATTTTTTTTCCTCTTTCTTTCCTCCTTTTATTTAGTTGGCTGCCATATGTATCCCTGAATTGGGTTTGGCCCCTGCCATAGTTGCTGGACCTCACCCCAGGGATGTATGTATATGGTAGCTTTTCCCCTATTCCCCGTTTTTATTTTATTTTTTTTAAAGCTTACCTCAGTGGACTCATGTTGTACTTGTCCTTTTGTGCCTGAATTACTTTGCTTAGCATGATTTCCTCCAGTTCTTCCCGTGTGGCAATATGCTTTGTGCATTCATTGCTGCTTTTTAGGGACTCGTACTACTCCATTGTATGTATGTACCACCGTTATGTGATCCATTTGTCTGTTGATAGAAATTTGGGTTGTTTTCAACTCCTTGAAATTGTGAACTGTGCCATGATGAACATTGGAGCACAGATGTCTGGCCCTAGTTTGTTTCCTGCATCTTCTGGGTAAATGCTCAGTAGAGGGATTGCTGAGTCCTATGGTAGCTAAATCTCCATCTGTTTTAGATATCGCCACATCAATTTCCACATGGCTGTACATACCTACATGTCCTACAGCAGTAGATGAGAATTCCTATCTCCCCACCATCCCTCCAAAACTTGTTACTTTCTGATTTTTTGAACTGGGCTATCTTTGAGGGTGTTAGGTGGTATCTCATAGTTGTTTTAGTTTGCATTTCTCTTATGGCTAATGATCAGGAACCGTTTCTAATATGTTTATTGGCCATTCAGCTTTCTGCCCTCGTGAAACTTCTGTTAAGGTCCTTTGCCCACCTCCTTAGTGGGCAACATGATCTTTTTCTTATTGTAAGCTAGCAAAGTATTATAGATGTTAGTAATAAGGCCTTTGTCTGATGTGTCATTGATAAAGATGTTTTTCCAGTCTGTGGGCTATCTTATTACTCTATTGGTGAATTCTTTCAGTGTACATAGGTGATTTATCTTCAGTGTATCCCACTTGTCAATTTGTGACTCCTGTATTTGTATCCTTCCCTATTTCCAATAGACTATGTATTCCCTATGCCAAGGTTCTCAATTTCTTCATTAATGGCCCTAATAGTTTGCAGTTTTACCTCAAGGTCTGTGATATGCCTTTAGTATATTCTTGTACATGGAGTGAGGTAAGGGTCCTGCTTCGTTTTTTTGTAGATAGATATCCATTTTTTTCAGCACCACTTATTGAAGAGGGCATCCACTTCCCATTTGATATTTTTTGGACTGTTATCAAAAATCAGTTGCCTGTATGCTAATGTTTTTATTTGGGGGTTTTCAGCTCTTTTCCATTGGTCTGAATATCTGTCATTATACCAGTACCATGCTTTTTTGATCACTGTGCTGTATAATACCTGCTAAAATCAGGTAAAGCAAGCCCTCCCACTTTGTCCTCTTATTGAGGAGTTCTCTGCTAATTCTGGACTTCTTCCTTCTCCATATGAAGTTGGTAATCAGTTTTTCCAATTCTTTGAAGAAGGATGATGGCATTCATATTGGGATAGCATTAAACTTACATAGTACCTTGGGCAGAACTGACATCTACTATATTGCATCTTCTAATCCATGAGCATGGGGCATGCTTCCATTTGTTGAGGTCACTCTTGGTTTCTTGTAATAGTGTTCTGTTGTTTTCCTCATACAAATCTTTTGCTTTTTTTCATCAGATATATCCCTAGATATTTCAATTTGTGCTTTGCTATAGTAAAGGGTACTACCTTTTAAACTGCCTCTTCTGTAATCTTGCCTGATGTGTATAGCAGTCCAATAGACTTCTGTTTATTGAACTGTATCTTGTCAGTCTGTTATATTTCTCTATTGCTTCCAAAACTCCACTTGTGGAGATCCAGGGATTTTCTATATATAAAATCAAGTCATCTGTGAAAAACGATAGTTTTGCCTCTTCCTTTCTTAGATGAATACCTTTGATGTTTTTTCTTTGACTTATGTTGTTAGCTAGAACCTCCAGTACCATGTTAAATTGGAGCGGGGACAAAGGGCATCCTTCCATGGCCCCCTTTTTCAGTGGAACTGTTTCATCTTTTCTCCATTGACTACCACATTGGCTGTTGGGTTTTCATATGCAGCTTTTATAATATTGAGGAATTTCCCTTCCATTCCTATCTTCTTGAATGCCTTAAACAGGAATGGGTGTTGGATGTTGTCGAATGCTTTTTCCACATCTATCGATATTATCATGTGGTTCTTAGAATTTTTAATGTCAATGTGGTGAATAATACTAATGGTCTTTTGTATGTTGAATTATCCCTGCATCCCTGGTATGAATCCCACTTGGTCATGCTGAATTATTATTTGTATATGCTTTTGTATTCTATTGGCTAGTATTTTAGTCAGTATTTTTGTGTTGATGTTCATTAGGGATATTGATCTGTAGTTCTCAGTTCTTGTGGGATCCTTGCCTGCTTTAGGTATCAAAGTTATACTAGCTTCATAGAAAGAATTTTGGAGTTTTCCATCTTTTTCTAAGTTTTGGGAGAGTTTGTGTAGGATTGTTGTCAGTTCTTCCCTGAATGCTTGGTAGAATTCTCCTGTGAAACCATCTGGCCTGGGAGATTTTTTTGTTGGTAATCCCTTGATAGCCTTGTCTATTTCTTCTATTGCTATGGGTCTGTTGAGGTTCTTGGCATCCATCTGGTATAGTCTAGGGAAGAATTGTTTTTTCCAATTATTTGTCCATGTCTTCCAAGTTGTGAAATTTTTTCGAGTATAGGCCTTCACAGTACTGTGTAAGTATCCTTGGATTTCA